TATTTCTCAAAGAAGGCTCCCTTAAACTGAGCCCAAGTCATAACAATGTCGGTGTCACGGACTAGCATCCACCACCTTCTGGCCACTTCTTGTAAGGTGAAGGTAGCCAGCAACACTTTATGTGCTTCAGAGCACAGAAACACTTCAAACAATTTCTTTGTTTCAAGAACCCAAGCTTCAGCCTTTAAGGGTTCAAGACCTCCTGAAAGGATGGCGGTTTCATCTTACTGAACTTCTGTGTTAGAGCAATGATGTCATCATTTACATTCTGTTCCGACTGTACCGAAGGAGGTGGGGGTTGTTGGTTCTGTTGTTGCAGCCTTAAGGCCTCAGTTAACAATTCAACAGTTCTTTCTAGCCTTGCCATTCTAGCCTCAAATGATTCAGTTTCGTCAGTAGTTCTTGCGTTGTCCATTCCACTATAAGCAGTTATGACAATTATAAACATAGGCAGTCATTTGTTTAAACAGATTAACACATTAGCATAGTAGGTGCATTGGTAACTCCGAAAGGCATAACTAAAAATTCGTAATGTCCATACCTCGTTCGAAAAGCAGTTTTGTCAATGTCCTTTGATTTAACTTTCAACTGATGGTATCCTGATCTGAGGTCGATCTTAGAGAACACTTGAGCACCCTGTAACTAATCAAATAAGTCATGAATACGTGGCAATGGGTATTTATTTTTCACAGTTACCTTGTTCAGTTCACGGTTGTCAATACACAGTCTCAGTGAGCCGTCTTTCTTCTTCACAAATAAAACAGGAGCGCCCCATGATGAAGTGCTAGGCCTGATGAACTTCTTATCTAGCAGTTCTTGCAGTTGCACTTTCAATTCTTTCAGTTCAGTTGGAGCCATTCGGTAAGGAGCTTTAGATACTGGCTGCGTTCCAAGAATCACATCAACGGTAAATTCAATCTCCCTGTCAATCAAATCCCCTGGCAGATTATCTGGAAAAACATCTGGGAATTCTCTGACTATAGGAATACTGTTCACGTTAGCATTATCATCAGTAGATACAGTCAATACATAACACAAATATCCCTTACAACCCTTTCTAATCAATTTAACAGCTTTCACAGATGAAATCAAATATGGAGGAGGTACTACTCCAACCCCATTAAACACAAATTCGGGTAAACTCGGTGGGCGGAAAACTACTTCTTTCGTTACACAGTCTATGGTAGCATGGTATTTCGTTAACCAATCCATTCCCAATATTACATCAAAATGATCAATGTTCAAGGGCAGTAAGTCAATAAACAAATGTGCATCTCCAACAATAATTTCACAAGCAGGGTACATCTATGCACAGGTCATAGATCCCCCAATGGGTGATGATACAGCTAACAGATAATTCATGGGTTCTAATGGTCTATTCAGTTTTCACAAAAAAACATGCGAAACATATGAATGCGTAGACCCCGAATCAATCAGTACATAAGCATTTTGAGTACAAATACAGAGAATACCTAACACAACGGTCTCGGTATTCTGCACGTCTCCCGGTACTAGGGCAAACACTCGGCCCTGCCTCATGGGCTCTTTCCCGGTAACTTTGGGGTTCGGTTTTGGGGCAACAGTTGATGCTGCCATGCTTGGTGCAGCTTTACTATTGGCTTGTGGAGCAGAGGGGACAGTCTTTAACCATGTGGCCCACCTTGACACACTTGTAACAGGCTCTAGATATTTTGTAACAGACCCCTTTGTGCT